ATAAACCCTGAAAACCCTCACACCGTTGCTGTTGATCACATTGGAGGCATAATGGAAATGATTTGGTTAATTAAGGGGAGGTTTATAAAATATTTACGTGTGTGCACACGCATGTAATTCACTTCCTCCTACACTCGGGGACGGCGACATCGCGGCACTCCAGGCCGGGTGATGGCGGTCCATTTTTCTACCCTGCCATGGTGGGAAACTCCTGCAGGTTCCGGAGCCTCGGCGCGGCTCCCCAGGGCCGCTCTTCTCCTTCCAGCCACAGTCCAGGAACCAAGCAAGCTCCCCCTCCACCCAGGCACCTGCTCAGCTTTGCCAGCTGGCGGGCACTGCCCGAGCTTCTGACCATCCCGAGGCCCTGGTCCTTCGCTTCTGGGCGTTTTCCTCCAGGGATTTTCCTGGGGTCTCTTGGCATCGCCTCTCTCTGGCCCCACTCTGGTCCCTCCGCGGCCCCTCCGCTGCCCCTCCGCGGCACGCCCAACTTGCCCCGGTGTCCGAAGGCCCGCGTTTTCAGGGCGCTCACTGGGTGCTGCTCTGGGTCCCCCCGCGCGGGCCCCGGCTTCGCGCAGGAGGGCGCAGGCCCGGCACCCAGAGGTGGGGGAATCACCGCGCGAGCCAGGCTCCCTTCTTGGTCTGGCGCCCAAGGGCACCCAGTTACCGCCCCGCGCTCCTGCGCGCTTCTCAGCCATCCTCCTGGGGACTCTTTGGCACTCCCCTCACTGTCTCCTAGCACGATGGCTTCCTGGGTCCTGCTGGAGAAAGGTGCAAAGTCTAATGGGTATTTAACAAGACTCATAAATCAGGAGGCGTGCATCTGGGCGGAGAAAAGGGCCGGGGTCAGGGGCACAGGCCAGATCAGGCCACCAAGCCCTGCCACTGAGCTGCTGAGCTGCGTGGCTGCCTCGCCATCTGCAGAGGAGGGAATGGCCATCTTGGAAAGGCTGCGGAAGAGGCCCTGGCGCCGCCCGCTGCATCCCTGACACCGGTCTCTGCTGTCCTGTGCTCGGCGCCAAAACCAGATCCCCAGGATGGCTCTTGGGAGTGGGGTGTTTCCAATGAGCCTCCTCCTCTTCTTCAGGGACCCAGGTCGGTGGAGCCTCAAAATCAGTGGAGAATTCTTTCAGAAGAAATAAAATTGTAAATGGGCATGCTTTTTGGTGTGTTTAATCTTATTCTTAAGTAAATATAAAGGGGGTGGGTAGGGAGCCTGGTGGAGACTAACCGTTTCTGAGGGCTGGGGAGAAAAGGAGGCACGGGATCTTTTTCAGAGCTGGGGTAACACTTCCCCCCAATTCAGAAAACTACCCCCCACCTAATGACAACCAGCAAGTAAACTTTCCATCAGGCCTTGAAACCCGCTTAAAAGTCAAGTTGGTCCAAAATCATATTTTCACCAACTCTCTGCCCTCCCTCTGCCAATACACACCCAGGGTCTCGGGACCTTCCTCCGCAACCGCTCCTGCACTGCACTCAGGTGCCCTGCCCAACCACCGGGGCACCAGGAGGCCCAGGTCCCAGCCGGGGATGCCGCGGGTCCAGGCTTTCCAGGCACAAGGCCCAGGCCAACCGCCACTGCCCAGCCCCGCCTGGTTGCTCCCATGACCTGGTCCAACTGCGTCAGGCCCGAGTGGGCATCCTTGCTCTCCCTCCCCAACTTGAGCCAGAACACAGACCACTTGGAGCTCTGATTCAACCATGCAGAGACCCCTAGGGCTGGCTTTGTATGGCTGTGGTCCACAGTCCTGCCCCTGTCTCAGGGACCTTGGTTGGCCCACCCTATGGAAGGGGGAGGGGCTCCCCCAACCACCTGCCCCCTCCCCCCCCACTCCTGAGGCCTCCAGACTAGTGATGGGGCCTTCCTGAACCACCTCTTGCCAGGTGGGGACAGTGGCTGAGGGTCTGTGAAGGTGGTTTCTCCTGGCTTGCAGATCCAGAGCAGCATGGCTGTGGGCGGCTAGAACCCCGCAGCCTGTCCCCAGCCAGTGCCACTGAGCCCAAAAAGGACCCTGCTTCTCTGCCATCAGAGGTATGACCAAGACCCCAGAATGGCTGAGCAAGTGAGCTGGGCCATCTTCTTTGGGGAAAGTTCTGGATTCCCCTTAAGCAAATGTTCAAGTGAGGCCCAAGGTCCAGGCTCAGGCACACTGGGTTTTCCTTCCTCAGCCCCATTAACAATTTGATGCTAACAAGATTGAGGGATGGTGCGATGATACTCCCCACGGGGACACCGAGCCAGGAAGTTCTGGATCCTTCCCTTTTCCTCCTCCTCTCCAGGGGGATGGTTTGGAGGCAGTTTCCTTCCCCTCCCCCCCCTTTTTTTGGCAGGTTGCTTCCAAGTTTTCTTCATGCAAATTTTTGGGTAAAGCTCAAGGAGAATTAAGGGAGGAGGTAAGCCAGGGGTACACCCAGTCTCTGCTGGGATCCAGCCCTGGCCTTGGGCAGAGTGGTCATAGTCAGAACTAAGGCACCTTTCCAGGGCTTCCTGGCGGAAGTCCACAGGCTTTTCTAGAGCCAATTTTCCCACTACAGTGGAATCCTCAGACACGGTTTTCAGGAGGGCTCTTCCCACTCACCTCCCTGATGTCTTCTAGAACCTTCTATCTTTTCATAACCCAAATGCAGGTGATATAGGCAGGGCACAGCAGGTGACTGTGGGGGGAGGTAAGGACAAAATCTGCTGCCCACAGCCACCACTCCCAGGTTCTGATACCTACAGTACCACTGAAATGGGCTGTCGCAGGCTGCAGGTGGAGAGTGGGAAGGAGAATCAGTCCATGTGGCTGAATCCCGACACTGACAAGTTTCTCTGGGCTTACATGCCACCTGCTCTCCAGGTCACGGAAGAGGGCTTATCTCTCCTGTCTTTACCTGTCACCCTGAAATGTGACACTGTAGTTTGCTAAACTGGACAGTGGTGGGACTGGCCCACTGGTTGGTTTGGGAGGTAGGAGAGAGGGGTTTGGCAGCCAGGGAGATGGAGGGCTGGGGGGCAGGAGGAAGCTTCCCTTTAATGACTTCCAGGGTTGGGAGTGGTTAGTGCTCACTTCCAGCACCCCAGAATCTGTGTCAAAGCAGGAAAGGTGTCCAGATAGTTTCGGGAGGTTTCTAGAGTGAGCAAGGGCTAGTAAGTGGAGGTGGGGCGGAGGTAGGGGAAGGAGTGAAGGGGCAGCATGAACAGGAAGAAAACCTGACTGAGCAGAGAAATAAAAGCCTGATCATGGCGCTGGTAATTAGTAATTACTATTATGGGCGTTATTGTTGCTAATTATAGGCAGTGGCTCCCTGTCTGTCCTCAGGCCCCAAAAATGGGAAATGAGAGCCTTCCTGATGGTTCAAGAGTCACTGGGCCTCCATGATCCAGGCGATTGGAGGGGAACTAGGGGTTGTGGGCCAGGTCAGGGTCCAGGGGGCAGGTGGCCCAGTTCACCAGCAGCACAGCATGCTGAGGACTGGGCCCAGAGGCCAGCCTCAACTCCGCGGACCTAACTGGCCAATACGGGGCTGAACAGCTGAGTGCGTGGGTGAAATTCCTGCAGGGTCCAGTGTGCCAGCCTGCCACAGCAGGCAGTGCAAGCCAGGCACTGGCTGCCTAGTAGGAGATAGGAGGAAAAGTGGCCCCAGGAACCCGGGCCCACTCCCTCCCCCTCCACCAGGAACAAGCCAGGGAGTGTATGGCAGAAGTGGCCTGCCCTAGAGATGTCCTGTGCACAGGGAGGCGGGGACGGACCTGGACCTCCCCACCAGAGCGTGGGGTCATGGCAGCATCCGCTTGCTCTTCCGGACAGCTGAGGATGGAGAAGAGAGAGGGAAGGAGAAGAGGGACGCCCTGTTCCCAGGCTGCTCGCGGCGTCGCGTCGGGCGGGTGCTCTCCACGCAAGTTTAAGTCCTGAGTGTGCACACCTAGCAGACAGAGGAGGGGATCCCCAAGCCACACTTAGCTTCTCCCATAACCGCGGTGGGGGCTGAACGTTTCCCTTGCGCTGCAGTGGTGATTTTCCAGCAAAGAAAAGGTCCCACCCCCCTCTCTCCAGGAACCTGTCACTGTGGACTGCATCCGCTTTCCCCTTGAAGTGGATTCTCAGCTGCCCCTTCTCAAAGTTTTCACGATAGGAAAAGCCCGCAGAGCTCTGCGGCTTCCCGCTTATCCACGTGGAGAGAGGCCAGTCACTGCCAGGTGACCAGTTGCTGCCCAGCTGGGGCCCCGCGGACCGCACGCCCGCGTCAGGGTGTCACGCCACGCCAGGTTCCGCGCCGCACCGAGGGCGCCGGGGTGCGCTTCTGCCAAAGACGTCTGGGGGAGGCCAGAGCAGCGCCAACCTCGGAGGAGAGGCCATTCCCGTCGGCTGTCTGTCACCGCCCCAGCGCCAGCACCGCTGCCCGAACGGCAGAAAAACAGGCGCCGAGATGTTTTCCTGAAGGAGCAGACACACCTCGGCTTGGAAACAGCAAACCCCAGGGTCCGACAGCTGTAAACCGGTGTCGACAGGTTGTCAGACAGCCGCGGGAGCCGGTGGGGAAGAAGCCCGCAGCCGCCAGGCCCGCACCCGCCGCCGGGCCGCTTGCGCGCCCACAGCGGGCGGAGGTGGCCCGGCCGGCGCGGAGCACCACGTGCTCGCCGGGAGGGGCGGGAGCGGCCGGGCTAGGGCGGGCGGGAGGCAGGGAGGGGGCGGGAGGGGAGCCGGGGGCGGGGCCAGCGCTCAAGGGGATGCCAATCAAAGCATCAACTTCAAATTGTGTCTGAAAGCCCCGCCGCCCGAGCGGAGGGCGGCCGCCGCAGTCGGCGCGGGATCGCGGAGCCGGGCGCAGCCGGGAGCCGGGCGCCAGCGAGCACCGGGGCCGAGCAGCAGCCACCGGCCCCCGCCTCCGGGCCGGCCCGAGCGCGCCCGGTCTGCCGCCCGTTTCTCCCCCCCCCCGAACCCTCCCGCCGCGCCGCCCCGACCCCCGCCCCCGCCCCTTTAATACTCGCCCGCCGCCGCCGCCGCGGATCCGCGGACATGTCCTTCCCGCAGCTGGGCTACCCGCAGTACCTGAGCGCCGCGGGGCCCGGCGCCTACGGCGGCGAGCGCCCGGGGGTGCTGGCCGCGGCTGCGGCGGCCGCCGCCGCCGCCTCGTCGGGCCGGCCGGGGGCGGCGGAGCTGGGTGCGGGAGCGGGTGCGGCCGCCGTCACCTCGGTGCTGGGCATGTACGCGGCGGCCGGCCCGTACGCGGGCGCGCCCAACTACAGCGCCTTCCTGCCCTACGCCGCCGACCTCAGCCTCTTCTCGCAGATGGTGAGTGCGCCGGGCCTGCCCGCGTCCCTCGCCTCGGCCGCCTCCCCCACCGGCCCAGGCGCCCCGGGCGCGGGTGGCCTGGCGGCGCGGCGCGCGGGAGGCAGAGCGGGCGGGCGGGCGGAGCCGGCCCGGCGGGGAGCGGGGGAGGCCTGGCCCGCGGGTCCGAGGCGGCGGGGGTGGCGGGAGAGCCGCAAGGCCGGCCGCTAACGGCCCGTGCAGCTCGGCCGGGGGAGGCGGGAGGCCTGGGCCGCGAACGGGGGGTCTCGGCGGGAGTCGGGAGGCCATAGGAGCAGGCCGGGGCGCGCGGCTCGAGCTGGAGGTTGGGGCCAAAGTCGCCCGCGCCCCCGGCTCGGCGGAGGCGGCGGGGCAGGGCGGGCGGCGTTCCGGCAGCTCGGCTAGGTTCCGCAGGACGCCCCCGACTCGCCGGCACACCCGGCTCGCGCGACCTCTCTGGCTTTGGGCCCGTGCCGGGGAGACTCCGTTTTCTCCCGTTTTGGTGGACCTCCTCTAGTTGTGTCCGACTTTGCCAGAGAGAACCCTGGAAAGCCTTGTAGAGGTGATCAAAATAAACCTAACAATGGGGAGATCAGACGGGCCGGATGGGGACTCTTAATGGAGTGTGTGCAAAATTGAGATTTAGGGGGAAAAAAAAGTGGAAATAATTTTGGCGTCCGAAACGGTGTTTGCTTTGACTTTCGTAAGTTGCCAAAGTTTTCATTTCTTTTGCACCGAATGAAAAGCACTTTTCTTTCCGTGTTACATAATGGAGGATTAAAGAAAGCAGAGTCCCTGGGCTTAAAATAAATGCTGCCCTCTTAGTCTCCTGTCCCAGTGGGTGTCAGATGGGGGAGGGAGCTGCAAATTTAATTCTCCGCGGGGCATTCGCCATTCTGTGGGTCCAAAGGATCCATTTTCCTTGGTCTGACTGCAAGGTCGCGCTTAAACTTCGGGATACTGCTGAATTGCGCGCGGGGCGCTGGGGGCCAGGGAGGCAGCCCCCTCTCGCGCTGCTGCGAGAGGGACAACGCAATTTGCAGGCACCCCCCACGTCTTCCCACACCCCGAAGAAGAGTCAGGAAAGAAATACCGGCCAACCGTACGAGAGAAAAGCGGCTGGTGTGTTTTTCTGTAACTTTTTCCTGTAGTTTTGAAAAGGAAGACTATTTCTCTGAAAGCAGCCCCGGCTGCTTTTGAGATCGCTGGCTATCGAAAAAGATCAGCTCCCATTTTGTTCTGGCGGCTGGGGATGGCAGGGAAGCGATGAGAGATTTACAAGGTATCCTTTCAAAAAGAATTCTGGCAGAGAAGAGGCCGAAATGTCGTCCTTACAGTTAGACCCAAAATAATTAGAGAAGTGCAAGGTACGTTTTGCAAAGATTGGGGAAAAACGAGATCTGGCCAGCGCAGCCTTGCCTCTGCGGCGTCCACCACTGAACTAACTAGTCAAAGAAATATTCTGCTCTTTACAACTTTCTCAGTCTGGAAACGCCCTCTGCTAACATAGCAATCGGACCATATTTATTTGGAGAATTATAATTTTTTAACAGAAATTTTGAATACAGATATGTGCCATTTGGGACCCTCCCCCCCTCCCCCGCGTTTGTAGGAGAGAAAGGGAGCTGTGTGTTGGGAATCTGCTCCCATTGTGGTGTGCTGGGGAAGGGAGATAACTTGATTTTTTTTTCTTTTTTTTAACTAAGGGGAAACCATATAGAAATCTCCCTCAAAAAGGTGGGTGTATCTGCTAGTGATCACCCTCTGGTTCTCAGAAAGTAAGCCTAAATCCAAACTCTTAAGTCTAGGCCTAGGTTTCCAAGCCCTTACGACTGGGGATTTGGAAGTCAAAAGATAAAATTGTGCATGAATGTCTGTCTGGGCAATTTATGGTAATAATGAGGCCTAATGAGGTTGTTAGAAAGATAAAATGTTATTTACCAAAAAACCTGATGGGATAATTTGACTTGCTGTGTTTTACTACGGATGATAAAAAGAATATTGATCGCAAATAAATCACGGCCTCTAAATGCTTGCAAACAGTTTGAGCTTCCTCTTGCCACATCACAGTCAAACTTAAGAGATAAACTAAGTGAGAACAGGCCTAGGAGAGCAGTACCCCTTCACACAGCTGGGACTCCCGAGCCCTCGCGTTAATATTTTACCGGTTAAGCCCTCCTTTTGTATTTTAAAAAAAAACAAATGGTGTTTTTGTTATTGTTGATGATGGCCAGGATTAAAATTTTAAATTACCTGTCACCACTGTCGACCTTAAAGTGTGGGGAACCATTATATGCAGATTAATTTGGGAGCTAAAAGGAGTGTGCTTTCATTTTAAATTGCTGGTGGATTTGGACCCAAAGAAAACCCGAGATGGTTTATTTTGCTTGACCCCCTCAGGGTCGGAGGGGGCTTAGGCTTTAGGTTCTTTACATTTGGAGAAACTGTTTTATCAGCGCAGTTAAAAGGTTTTCCCTTCTAGTTAGTGTGAGATAAACTTGGAAATTAAGGCTGTTGAAGTTGTTGTGGGTGGTGGGGGTGGGGGGACTGAGGGATGCCTAGGGAAATTCTATGGGGCCATGGCTCCTGCTGTGATGTACTGGAAATGCACGGATTCTGGAACTTCTCTTGAGTGACAAAAAATAATAAAAATAAAAACAACAAAAACAAAACAAAAACAACCTCTTCGTGAAGGTTGGAAGCTCAGTTTTTAGAGGAGGCTGAAGATTCTGACCAGTCACTTCCTCCCCGGGTGGTGCACTGGGGGCCTTCGTGTTCTTGAGCTGACAGGAGCAGCTGCCCCTGACTTTCCTAGTTTTGGGGACTCATCGCGCTTTCTCTCTTTCTCCACCCCCACACCCCTACTCTCTCTCTCTCTCTCTCCTCCCTCGGTGGGCTTTGTGGTTGCAGGGCTCACAATATGAACTCAAAGACAACCCCGGGGTGCACCCTGCCACCTTCGCAGCCCACACGGCGCCAGCCTACTACCCCTATGGCCAGTTCCAGTACGGGGACCCCGGGCGGCCCAAGAACGCCACGCGCGAGAGCACCAGCACGCTCAAGGCCTGGCTCAACGAGCACCGCAAGAACCCCTACCCCACCAAGGGCGAGAAGATCATGCTGGCCATCATCACCAAGATGACCCTCACGCAGGTCTCCACCTGGTTCGCCAACGCGCGCCGGCGCCTCAAGAAGGAGAACAAGGTGACGTGGGGCGCGCGCAGCAAGGACCAGGAGGACGGAGCCCTCTTCGGAAGCGATACGGAGGGCGACCCCGAGAAGGCTGAGGACGATGAGGAGATCGACCTGGAGAGCATCGACATCGACAAAATCGACGAGCACGACGGCGACCAGAGCAATGAGGACGAGGAAGACAAGGCCGAGGCGCCGCGAGCGCTGGCGGCACCTACAGCCCTGGCTCAGGACCAGGGCTCACCGCTAGCAGCCGCCGACGCGCTCAAGTCCCAGGACTCGCCCCTGGGCCTGGTCAAGGAGGTCCCGGAGCCTGGCAGCACGCGCCTGCTGAGTCCGGGCGCCGCGTCGGGCGGCCTGCAGGGTGTGCCGCACAGCAAGCCCAAGATCTGGTCCTTGGCCGAAACGGCCACGAGTCCCGACGGCGCGCCCAAGGCCTCCCCGCCGCCTCCCGCCAGCCATCCCGGCGCGCATGGGCCCCCCGCGGGCACACCGCTGCAACACCCCGCCTTCCTGCCCAGCCACGGACTGTACACCTGCCACATCGGCAAGTTCTCCAACTGGACCAACGGCGCGTTCCTCGCGCAGGGCTCCCTGCTCAACATGCGCTCCTTCCTGGGTGTCGGCGCGCCCCACGCCGCGCCCCACGGCCCGCACCTGCCTGCGCCACCGCCGCCGCCGCAGCCGCCGGTCCACGTTGCTACAGGGATGCTCCATGGTGACAAGGCCTCTGCTCGCAGCAGCCCCGCGCTCCCAGGTATTGTGCCCAGGGGTGTCCGCCCCGGGCCGGGCCGGGAATCCGGAACCCCGGCGTTGCCTGGAGGTGGGGGAGCGCCGGCCAGGGAGGGGAGAGGCGGTAGCAGCCAAACCCGGGGATGAGCGGTAATCTCTGCCTGGATTAGGGGACTGAGGCCAAGGCCTTAGGCTCCGTCAGGAGAGCTGAGTTCTACCTGCAGGCCTGCCTAGGGAAGGTGAAGGATTTTCTTGGAGACCCTATCCTTGTTGTGAGAGGGAGGGGGTGGGTGGGGAAGAGGCTTGAGCACCTCGGCAGCAACGCGCCCCCCCCCCCACACCTGTCTCTTAACGCTCTGCTTCTCCCTCTCCCTCGCAGAGAGAGACCTCGTCCCCAGGCCGGACTCGCCGGCACAGCAGTTAAAATCGCCCTTCCAGCCCGTGCGCGACAAGTGAGTGCTGTTTGCTTGTACTCTCCGTTGGCCTGGGCTGGAGCGGGGGTGGGGTGTGGGGGAGGAGGGTACGGGGCTGGAGAGCTGCGCGGGGCCGGCCGGTAGGGTCTGGCAGTCATTGTGGAAGGGGTGCTGTCCACCAGCCCTGCGTGCGGGGCCCTCTGGCTCCACCGGGTTTCTCTCGACCCGGGAGCCGCGCGGGCCAGGCGACCACGCCCCCAGGAGCTTGGCTGGCAGAACCGGTGACGCCGGGTCATAGTGTCCATCCACTGACCCTTCTTGTTCTTCTTGTCTCGCTGTGTTTCTTCTGCAGCTCGCTGGCCCCGCAGGAGGGAACGCCCCGGATCCTAGCAGCCCTCCCGTCCGCCTGATTCAGGGTCTTCTTTTACTTTTGCGAGGGGGAGGGGGGAGGAGTTTGGGAGGGAGGGGATGAGGGAGGAATTAGGACAAATATTTCAGACTGGTGTAACGGACAAATATGGCCACGACATCAAGGACTCCCATCCATCGCTTTCTGCAGAAAGGGGCTCGTACCGCCCGAGCTCCAGTGCAGGCAGCCCGGCCTCTGCCCAAGGCTCTGGTGGCTGGCACCATGCTCTGGTTCACTATCGGCTCGGTAAATGCCCCACGTGCTTGTGTCTTTTTTTTTTCTTCTTCTTCTTTCCTTTCTGTATATAGAGTGATTTCAGATTGTAAATAGCGCGTCAGCGAACTTGTCTAAATCATATATTTTTGTCTAATAAACTAAATGAAATGATGCCCACTGCCCCCCCCCCCCCCCACTGTGTGTGGCTGGGTGTCTACAGGAGTGTCCGGAATCCTGCAATGCTGGCAGGGCCCAGATGCCCCTGGCTTTGGGAAGAGAGGCTCCCTGGGGAGTTTCCACCAGCGGAGGCCAGTGTTTCTCACAGTCTTTTGGTGGTTGTTGAATTTGTTAATATCACCAGGGCAGTTTCTTTGTAGGCAGTTTAATTCTTTCCAACCCTTAGACATTTATCAAGGACACGCCTTTCTCGGGACATAAATGACTTCGATTTTCAGCAGTTTAAAAACGATTTCTTAAAGTGGGCAACAATGGGGGAAAAAAATGAAAAGAATTTCCAATTATGTCCCCAAAGGAGAACTTCGGATTTGAAATCAGTTTATAACTAGTTGTCTCAAAAGTGCATCATGGCGTCGGTGCCTTTGGTGGGTAGAGTGAGGACAATGGAGTATGAAATTTTGGCTTTGAATGTATTTTTTAGTTAGTTGGTTAAATCAAACGTGGAGAGAGATTGGAAGGCTCTTTTAAAATGTCCTAATGGGCAGGCAGAGAGATGCAGCTTGGGAGTTCTCTGGGCTTGGGAGCCAGGGAGCTGAGGTAGCCTTTTGGGATAAGAAAGAGGGGTGGGTGCTTTGGTTTCTCAGGGACCCCCCCCTTTAAACTCAAGAGCCTTGGATGGGCGCACCGAGAGAGCAGAGGAAAAACAAACCTCGGGTAGCAGGGTCTGGGAGGTAGCTGGGAGTGGCGGTAGGACAATGCGGGACTGAGCTAGCCTCGGATGTGCAGGGTGGGAAATGGCCCAGGACCTTGGGGAATCACAGCGGTCGGGGTTTCCCCCCTCTGGGGGCGCTCAGAGCAAACTCGCCACCGCAGCTGCATTTCAAACAGGGCACAGATGACTTTATGCAGAATTCCTGAAAACTGAGAATACGAGCATTAACAAAATCTTCAGTGAGGCTGTGAGCTGCAGGGGAACCTGCCCAGGGGGAAAGAAGCCTAGTCCCTGACGCAGGACAGGACCTCCCCAACCCCCGCCGAGGCCGCATATTCAGCGCCAGCTGTCTGGGGGCTGCCAGTGGAGAAGAGGGGCGCCCCAGCCAAAGGGGAAAGTCTGGGCGCTGCTGTCTGTGTCCCTGGCTCCTCCGTGGCGGGGGAAGGGGCGACTCGCCTTGAGGACATGGGGATCCACCCCACCGGAGACGCACTGCCCTCTTACGGAAGCCTGCGTCGTTCTCCAGCCCCCCACCCACCCACCCCGTCCCCGCCCTTTCAGAGGAAGGGGCCTCTCCCCACCCCAGAGGCTGGAGGAAGAGTGGCGACGGGAGAGCGTGCACAGGCGGCACGTGGGGGTGCGGGGCGCGTGGAGGCGCGGGGGGAGTGGGGCCGCGGAGCCCGGCGAAGCGCCGGCCGCCCGCGGGCACGCAGGGGCTGCGGCCGCGGTGGAGACGCTTCCAGTCCGAATGGACGTGCTCGGCGCGCCCTCTATGGGCTGGAAGCGGAATGGAGTCCTGACCGCGCCGTTGATGTGGCTCCTTGGGGCAGAGCGCATGATCTGGGGTGCTGGGCCTGGGAGTTGCCGTGGGTAGGAGCCTGGATTTGCGGTGGTCTGGCTTTCTGTGTGATCTTGGGTGCCACCAGTTGTTTGGGGGTGCGGTGGCAGGCCTGCTGGTTGGACTGCTGGCTTTTGTGGGGAGGGTGTGGGTGCCAGGTCCCAGGCAGGGCGCTTTCATTGTCCGGGTGGAACTTGGACATTTAGAGAGGAGTTCCTGTTCTGCCCTGGACACTAGGGCTTCAGGGGTCACTGCACCCTCAGCTCCCCAGTCCAGAGCTCCTGGGATGGGTCCTCACATCCCATCCTGACCACTGGGGACAGATGGATCCTGTGTACTTGGCAAGAGTGTGGTCGAGAGAGTTTTCACCAGGGGTGTGTTGCTGCTGTGATGAGGAACAGCATTCTTGGCTCACAGACATGGTGCTCCGTCTTCCACAGTGCGCTGGTAGATTCCTCCTGGGTAACTGCTGGAAGCATCAGGTGGGCGGCCGACTCCTCTGCCGCCGGCAGCCTCCACGCTTTCATTTCCTAGAATCAAATAGGCTGGCCCACGCAGGCCTCGGCTGCTTGCACGCCCCATATCTCTGTTCTTTTCTTTCTTCCCGTCCAATACATTTGGGACCCCTGAACGCTGCTGCCCAGGGGCCTGGACCAGCATGTGCTCACCAGCTGAGTCCCACGCCTGAGAACCCAGTGGTCTAGAATTCCTGAAGGGTCTGTGCTCCCCCCTGCTGACAGAAGTTTCCCATGCAAAGAAATCAGATCTCCATCCTCAGAATTATTTTTCTCGAGTGAAAAGGTAGAGATGAATTTTTAATCAAGCATTGAACAATCATTTTTGTTCTTTGTGCATGATTTGTAACCACCCTTTCCCCCACCACCACAGCCACTTGAGTGTGCATGCGAGGGTGCGTGGCTCCCCAGTGGGAGCACCTCCTGTGCATGCTGTTTCGGTTCCTGAAATATCTGGGAGTAGACATAGAAACCTCTTTTTCTTCTAAAGCCAAAGCAGAAGTTCTTCTGGAACTTTCTGCCTGTGCGAAGGTGCTCTCATACTCTACGCCTGCTTAGGGACAGTGTCTGGCAAGGAGGAGATTGAAGCCGAAAAGGGGTAGGCGTGAGGGATGTCCACGGGATTAATATTTGTGACTTGGTGCCCCCTCCTCTGATGGGGAACTAGAAAGGACAGCCTGTGTCTGGGGCAGAGGATTTCTGTCTATTGAGTCTTCTGGTAGGGAAGGGTATGAAATCTCATGCGGAGATCCTCCCCTTCCTGCTCCAGTGCAGGCCTGTGACAAAGAGACGGTCAGAAGCTCATACCTTCTAGATTGCCCCCCTCCTACCCCATGTTCCTAGCTTGAAGACTTGGGGGGTGGGCACAGGTCCCACCCATCATTGACCCCCTGGATGCTGGAGTCTGAAATCTGTTCCCACCACCCATCCCTCCCTCCTTCAATCAATTATATTCACCAGCACATTTATCTCGCCTGCAATATGGAGAATTCATATTCATATCTCGGTTTTAGTGGTCTGACACTGATTAATGTAATACGCGCCATGGCTCCGAGGGGCGCGCCACCCGATGAATCATGCCCTATAAATTTTCAGTTGTCCTTGTAGATGGGGCTCTGCTAGAGAGCCACGAAGCCAGAGAGGGAAAGAGGGAGGAGAAAGGAGAGAGAAAGGGCAGGGTGGCCACAGTGCCCGGGCGCCCTGGGACAGATGCTGGCCCTCGGCCCCCGAACGTGGAGGCTTTGCCTGGCCCTGACCGCTCTGCCACATCCCTTCTCCTGAGTTGGGGAATGAGGTTCTGGTCTGATCCAGCCGACCTCTTTCCTTTCCTTCTGGTTGGTGCAAGCAGGCTAGAGGTTGCCTGCCTGCTCCCAGCCAGAGTCTGGGTAGGACTGGGGCTGCCCGGCTGGAGACCAAGGATTTATGGACACTGATTTGGAGAGGAGCCAGGAATGCTCTCCCGAAAGTGACAGGGCCCAGTTTGCTGTGGGGAATGGGATATTAATCTTGCATCCCCCAAGTTGGAGTTTGGAAAGGAGGGGAAGAAGCCAAGCCCATGGTTGCTGGGTGGGGGCGGCTCCGAATAGGTTTAGAGTGTGTGGGCAGTAGGGACATGGAAGGCCCTTGGAACCTCCAGTGGTCTCCTCCCACCAGACCTGTGCTGCATGGGCCACTTGCAGGACCGAGCACTGTGACACCAGTCAGCTGGGCTCTCAGGTTTCCAGGGACCTGAGAGGGGAAAGTCTGGGGTACCTGATAACTGAGCACATGACTGTGGCCCCACGACTTACCAGGCCCCAGGGAAGCATCCTGGAGGACAGTCCTGGCACATCTTGCAGATTGTGTCTCCAGGGGGGGAGGGCAAGAATCCAGAGTGGATGACCAGAGGAAAGAGCTAGGAGGGAGAGCGGATGTGTCTTGGGGGAGGTGGCAGCACCCAGCCCCCCGTAGGGGCCCCCCAAAGTCCTTGTGGATGGAGCAGTGCCCCTGGACACGTTTCCTTCCCTCTGAGTACCCATCCTGGCTCAGGCATTGGGTGAATGGTCTCCAGTTAAAAGCCCTGGAACAATTCCACGCCCCGCGCAGCCAGGTGGGGCGTGGCGAGCTTTCCACAGGTCTTCTCCAGGGTGTCCACTGGCCAGTGGCGCTAATTATAGCTCCAGAGCTGAAAGGCCTCCCAAGGTCATCCCTGGGGGACTGCTGGCACCCTTTTGTGCCCCAGCTAAGGAAGCTGGGTACCTCTCCCCTGCCCTCTCTCACTAAGGACTCTGAAAATGAGCAATGGTCTGTCTTAGAGTGAGCACAGAGTGGGGCAGAGGAGGTGGGCTGACCTATCAGGACAGTGACCACAAGGCCTGCTGCCCACATTGCTTTTAGAGACCCACGAAAATGTTCTAATTTATTCTCAAATGGAAAGAAACTAACAAAAAAGTAACTTTGAGGACAAAGTGTTAATATATAATACCAAGATATTCATCTTTATGCCAACAGCAGTTGTAACATTTACATTTTAACATTTGTTTCCCACGGAGGAAGAGGCCCAC